GTTTCTAAGTGAGTTTACTTTTGTGGTGGAGGATTACACTGGTCATTATGGAGGATAGGTCTGAGAATTTCCTGGCGAGCTGGTTTACTTATGGCAAATTTCTTCAACATGTGAATGTCATTAAAGTATTTAATTTCTCCATCATACATGAAATTCAGTTTAGCTGGATACAGGATCCTGGGTTGAAAGTTATTTTGTTTTAGGAGGTTAAAATTTGATGACCACCCTCTTCTAGCCTGAAAGGTTTCTTCAGGGAAATCTTCAGTCATGCTACTATTCTTCCCCTTGTAGGTTACGGTTTTCTTACATCTAGTTGCTTTTAGGATTTTATCTTTCATGTTAACTTTAGTGAAGTTAATTATGATGTGTCTGGGGGATGTCTTATTTGGGTTGAGTCATGCTGGGGTTCTGAAGCTGTCTGCTATCTGAATTTCAGGATCTCTTGACATATCTGGAAAGTTCTCTTTGATAATTTCATGAAGAATAGCCTCTGTGTTTTTTGAAACAACTTTGTCACCTTCAGGGATTCCTATAAGGCGAATATTAGCTTTCTTAGAATTATCCCAGATCTCTCTAAGAGAATGATCCATTTTTGCTTTCCATTTCTGTTCCTCTTTGGACACTTGGGGACATTCAAAATCTTTGTCTTCAATGTCTGAGATCCTTTCTTCTGCCTGCGCATTCTACTACCAAGGGATTCTACTATATTTTTAGATCTTTGAAGGCTGCAATCTCTTGACTCAATGTTTTAAAATCTTTGGTGGTTTTGCCTTTGAATTCGTTGAATTCTTGAGTGAACTTTTGGAATGCTCTTTGAATTTCTAATTGTATCTTTGCCTTTATTCTATTAATCTTATTTGTAATCCAAATTCTGAATTCGATTTCTGATATCTCATCCATCTGTTTATAAAGGGGATCTTCAGTTACATCTGCCACATCTCTTCTTGGGGGGGGTGTTGATCTACTCTGATTATTCATATTACTGGAGCTTTTCCGCTGATTCAGCCCCAATATTTATTTTACCCCATTTGGCTTTTCCCCTTGAGCTTTGTCAAGCACTTGTATGGTGTTATGACCTGAAGGACTTGGGACCTACTTGGTCTGGTAGGGCTAAGTGGCTCTGTCTTATTTTTAGCTGGTCTCTGTCCTACCCTAGTGAATCAGTTACTCTTGGTTAAAGTCTCAGCTATGGAGAAATGCCAGCAATTAAGTCACCCCACCCCCCACAAACAACAATTGGACAAGGAAAATCAAACCTTCCCTCAACCATATACCCAGGGTGCCACTTTGGATAGTCCTTGGGTGATTTTCCTGGTTCAAGGGGTCAAAATCAGTTGTCCTAGTCCGCACCGGTCTCAGGTGGGATAGTTCAAAAAGTCTCCACCAACTAGATAGGAGGAGTCTGCTGGCAGCTCAGCTATGACACTCCAGTGCTCCGTGAGGACAGAAGGACCCACCCAGCAAATGAATTAGTCTGGGAAGGTTGATGCTTCCTTCCCCACCCTGCACCTAGTCACTGATAATCCCACAGGGCTTTGACCCAGTTTACTCCAGTGAGCAACTGCTTCCAGGGTTTACAACTGCCTGAGTCACCAGGAGATCTGAGTCCTACAGTGGGACCTTAGGTGTTTAACATTGGCTGGGGCAGTTCACTCAGTTCCAGCCCCATACCTGGCTGATGTTGCTGGCAGAGCAGGACAGAGCAACTTTACAGAATTTGTTTCTGTCCCAGCTAAATTCCTGTGCAGGTGCTAGAGCTGATACAAAACTCAGCCCTGGGCAGCAAGCAGTTAGAGTTTACACTCAGGTGTCAATTCTAGCCTCTGCCCACCCACTGCCTTTGTCTCAGCTATATTCTCCTGAGGTCTAGGTGCTATCATATAATCCAGTAGATAAGCAGTGTACTGGATCAGCCCTTCCCTGTAAATCTGTGAGCTGCGCAGATTCTAGGTGCTCCGCCTAGGTTGATACCACTCTTAGGGCTTCTTTTTACTCACAAAACTTCCCAAATCTGCTCTGTCAGTGACTGCCACCAGAGAAAATGCCTGGAACCTCTGATTGCCCAGAAACTCAGGGTGTGTTTACCAGAATGGCCTCAGGAATGTGAGCCTTTCTGGCTGCTATAGCTGCTGCTCTGCAACTCAGGATACTGCAGCTCCTGTATGGTTTTCTCTCAGCTGACCATCCTTTACTCACTCCCATGCCACAGAGTCAGCATAGACCAGCACCAGCCCTTTCCCTCTCCATTCCTCTCAAGAAAATGCCCAAGAATCTGGACTCAATGGGTGACAAACTTCCAGACCTCAGGGTGAGAGTGGGGGGAAATCCTTGGAGTTCAGAGTTGCAGGTAGAGAATATATAGTTTTACAGTTTTATGCCTGGCAGAAGCATGCTGTGGCACCCTAGTAGGGGTAGGAGATCCAGTTTGTAGGGAGTCTCTCCCATGGGATAGAGTGGGATGATGCTTGAACACTGCTTGCTTATTTGTATGGAGTAAACTGCAAGCCCTTCTTGTGGGGGAGGGGACTCCCACCTGCTTGGTGGTGGATTTTGTACCTTTTGATTGTCTTCTAGGGGTTGCAGCTCAGCTCAGCAAGGATGCTGTACGTTCTTCAATCTTTTCTCTTGGCTCAGCTCCAAAACATCAGCTTACTTGCTAAACTTCTGTATTTTAAGTCTCCTTCTGGATGTCAGCCTCTGTAGAAAGCTGGCTGTAGTCCTCCATCTTGCCTCCACCCCCTCTCACCATAAGGTAACTAACTTACAAAAACATTATTGAAATATGACTATACAAAAGATGTAATATTTAGTGTATATATGCAATGAATTTGGGGGGTAAGTATACAGCCATAAAACCATTACCTCAATTAATGCCATCATAATAAGATAACTTGCTAATTGGCCTCCCATCCGCATCCTTTCTCTGTGTAGATATGCTCTTATTCACTAGAAATGTTTCTAACTCATAACTCCTCTAACAAAGATATATGTACCAGGATGTTTATTGCATCATGTCGAATGAGGAGGTATTCAGTGTGGATTTGCTGTATGATTCTAAAGTGTGTTGGCT